CCATCAGCGATGTTCTCTTGGCTCCAAGGTGTGCAAAACCCAGAGCGGGGCTGAAACGGCCCAGATTTCCTATTTTGAGGTTGTAACCACAGTATTTGTGGTGACTTTCTCCTTGAACTGTGCCAGAAACGGATCCCTGCCTCTGGGGAGCTCTGAGCAGATCAGAAGACAGTGCACAGGCAACGATGACCTTACTATCCCCACTGTCTGGGTCTGGATGACAGCTGTGACCCCACTGTGCTCCCTTGGGCGTGGGGAGCAGCAGGCGCCACTGTCAGAGAGGCTCCTTTGGCGAATATTGGAGCTCACCCATAAAGGTGATGGAACAAGTTCCACCATGGAATCACCCACAGCCTAGGTCAGATTGGGTACATCATTCCTTTGGGGGGCTGCTGGAAGCCCTGGCATCATCACTTCCCTAGTGCACAGGCCTCCCTGCTCCCAGTGCTGGAGGCAGAGCCTAAGGCTCCGATGCAACAATCCATTTTTCTTCCCCTTCCCGCTCAGTTGCCAAGCCTGAACAAAACAAGCCCTGCCTCCACCCGAGACAGGCTGATTACGTCTGCCGGCAGCCTAAACAGATTATCCCTCCCGCCACGCGCTCGGAGCCAGGAGTCTCTCCCGGCAATGGATTCGGACTTCCCTCAGAACATGCGGGGCTGGGTGGGCACTGGCTGTGGGGGCATCCCAGCCCACCCGGGTGTCCAGCACCCCAGTGGGGATGTGGGTTGAGTCTGGACCCTAAGACGGGATGTGGATGTTGGTACAGCTCTCCTGTTCCATCTTGTGCAATGAACTGCAGCACTGTGGGGCCGGCATTCTGTGGCTCTGCTGGGTCCTGCACGCCTGGCAGGTTTGTGTGGGAGGGAAAAGCTGATTGTACCACCAAAAACACAGGAGGTGTGAAAGCCTGTCCAACAGGCAGCTGGTTGGTGTCACAGCCCACCTCAGCCCTGTGACCTGGCGCTCCATGGGCTGCCACACTCCTGTAACCCAACCTGCCCTCTGTGGCCCTGGGGGTGTGCAGGGGTTCCTGTATCACCCTCGGCTTTGGGAGGTGCTGAGTGGCTCCGCACGTCCTTCAAGCCCCATTCTCCATCTGCTGGGAATTGTGTTCCCAGTGCTGGTGGAGCTGGTTGGGGTGGTTTGTCCATGCCTGGGCAGCATCAGCACAGCAGCCTGACAGCTTTGTGTAAACCCAGCTGGGGCCGCTTCCTTCTCCGCTTCCTCCCACCCGCTGTGCTGCCGGCAGCGCTGGGCTGGAGGCAGCGTCCTCCCCCTGGATGCACCATAGGCCTGTGGGCTGAGGGGATGGAAGCAGTGGCTGGAACAGCTACCTGAGAGGCAGCTGAGGTGCTGCTGGTGCCCCACAGCCCAGCTCCAGCGTCGGATCAAAGGTGGGATGCGATACCTGGACACTCCCAGAGGTGTGACAGGAAACGGAGTGGTGACGTGGGGATGTTTCTGCCTGAGTCACCCTCAGTCCCAGCAGTCCCACAGGAGGGATCGGATGGAACTGGGCACTGTGGGGCTGCAAACTGGCTGCGCCTCTCACGCCATGGTGGGGTGAGCATCATACCATGGGGGGGTGAGCTCCCTCAGCAGCCACTCTGCACTCTGCTTTCCCATGGCATTTTGTGGCTCACCCTCCAGCCAGATACCTTCTGGATAAAAGCAAAGCCACCCACCCAGTGCCTGAGCACTCTGTGTGGCTGCTACCTGTGGAGAAGATATGTGGAGCTGCCCTTTGGATATCACCAGAGCTGCCAGGAAGGAAACAGGGCCCTGTGTGGTCAGAGGCATCCTGAGAACCCTAGGGATGTTCTAACACCATTACTGAATGTGAGGCTGGACAAATCTCCTTGGAAGAGGGAAATTTTTGCTCTGAGGTCTTGCTCAGTGCTGGTTGTTGCATTTCCCTCCTCTTGAGGAGCTCTCCAGAGGAACCCAAGCCAGTGGAAAGGACATGTGATTCCAGCTCCATCCTGGTGCTCCAACACCCCCCCAGACCTGCCTCCCACATCGAGTTTATTTTAAACCTTGCTTCAGCAGGGCCATTCCAATGCAGGTGTGATGAGCCTATTTCAGACACTTCGTGTTCTAATTCATATCCCTTTCATTTAGGCTGGTACCTCTCTGGGCATTTGCTTGGTTTTAGCAGGAGCTTGTTTTGGTTTGGCTTTAAAAAGCGCTGCTGTGTGTTCATTTGTTGATGGGTGGAACCAGGCTGCCCACGCTGCCTGGCTCTAATTCGTACCTTTCAGCTACTTCGGTTTCAATATCTAGAATTGGATGCTTCTGCTAAAATAAGTGTAGCCCACTGGTGGTTATTTATGATGGTGGTACAGAAATGACCATGCTCTATGTTAAGGGTGTGTATTTCAGGTGCTCGGTGTTTATTTACAGACAGTTTGAGCTAAAATTGGAATGGCTGAAGGCAAAATAATGTCTTCTGGGGGTTGTGAGCCAGACTGAGGTAGGGCAGGACTTCATGCCTGTAATATTGGGTTAAGGCTGCTTGCTGCTGGCCTAGTGAGGGTGTCCCGGTTGGTTTCACAGTTACTTTGACCCTGATATGGCACTGGGACCTGCCTGCTGCCTGTCACTGAGGCTGGATGCTGTGTGGCTGCAGTGCTGTGGCTTGTGTCAGGGAGAATTTTTTGCTCACGGGGCTTTGCTGTGTTGAGCAGTTGCTCTTTGTGAGGAGCTGTGCTGGGGCATGGAAGGGAAAACTGAAGGATGGAAAAACTGGGAGATGGAGGAGGGCTGAGCCCTGACTGCAGCTCAGCTGTCCAGAGCATTGCCAGGGTGCTGCCTTGGTGTGGTCGTGCCAAGCCTTGGGGACGTCATGTGCTGTTGTCACTGTCATCCTCTTGTTCCTGCATGGTGGAGGCCACTCCTAAGATCTTTTCAAGCTCCAGTTGCTCAGCGCTCACCCTAAGTTCTCTCAGAGGAATTTAGGGACCCTGTTTCCTGTTACAGTGACCTATTGAATGGTCTCTGATGGGTCATCATAAGTCACTTGCAATTCTGCTTTTCCCCTGTAAAACACCAGAGAAATTTGGGATGTTTGGCTCTTCCCAGGCATGGGGGAGCACCGGGATCCCCTGCTCTGGAGTCCTCCCATCGCGTGGGCACGGATGCGTCACGGGCGGCTTTGGGTGGGGGCACGGGGCGGGGTGTGCCGGGGGAGTGGCAGAGCCTGGCTCACCTGCGGGGCGCTGGCAGCGTGGGCGGCACCGAGACGGGCACGGAGCTGGGCACGGAGCGGTGCCGAGCAGCTGGAGGTGGCATGGGGGCCATGGGCGAGCAGGGCACCAGCATCCAGGTGAGCTGGGCAGGGGTGGCGGGGGGCTCCGGGCTCTTTGCCAAACCCAGGGAGGGTTGTGGTGCACACAGGTGCCTTTCTGTGCCCCCAATGGGGTCGTGGGAACAGGTGTAGGGGTGCCCTGGGCCCCCTTAACTCCCCCAAATTGGATCCCAATCCCAGCGCTTCGTTTTCATTGGTTTAAATCTCATTTAAAGGGGGAAGGAAGGAAGGAAGGTCTTCTCAAATCATGTTTTCCCAGCTGCTGGGAGAGCAACACCTCGAGCTGGTATGTCATATTGTGAAGGGGATAAGAGATTTTGTTATTTCTTTTCACTTTATAAACAGCAAAAGGTCTCCTCCGGCGTGTTTCCAGTTTGCTTACTCAGTGGTTCATGCATTTGACAGTTTCTGGTGTATAGGCAGTTTCTTCTATTGTTTGCAGGGATTTTTCCAGAGGGGAAATTTTTTTTTAACATTACAAAACCACAGAAACTGGCAGGAAGAATCTAGGGGAGGTACTGGATTGGAAACAGTTTTAAACTTTAAGGAACAGAAAAGAATGAAAGCAACAAGATTAACTGAATAAGTTAGAGAAGATCTGGGACTGTGTGTCCTTATGACTTTTTGGCTGGGCCAGGATAGACGTGCATGGATGTTCCGTGGTGGAAAGCAGTGTTCCCAGACCCAGGGTCTCCTGGAGCTGGATCTTCCCTGGGTTTTCTCCCTCCTGGTCTGTCTTGGTATCTGTGGAGCCGCCTTGCTGGTGTGGCAATGCCTTGCCACTCTTGCAGCAGGATTTGGCCCCAGCCCTTGCCAGGTGTTGGCTCATCATTTACAGCTTGACAAGGCAGCAGGAGCAGTGCCTGCAGGACTTTGTGTGGGAGGACATGCCCAGTGCCCATCCCCATCCCACTGCTTCCCGTGGGTCAGCTTCACCCTGGCAACTTCTGCATCCAAGTCACCGGTGGAAAGAGCCTGGATATTCTTTTTCCACTGACATACGGCAGTGCTGCAAGGTTCTTTCCGAGTATTCTTTCCCTTTCTCTTCCCTGCTGGCTCAGTGAGCTGTTTTCCCTCCTCCTGGCTCTGACCTTCCTGTGTGCTCAGCCGTGGGCCGCTGGACTCTGTTGGTGGGGGGAGCGAGCTGGCAGGGGCTGGCCCTGCAGGGAAGCAGGAGTTGGGATGTGCACGGCACGGGAAGCGGCTGGGAGCTGGAGAACTGCCAGCACTGGGTAGTTTTTCCTCTCTTAATTAACGAACGGAAAACATGGAGCTCTCCTTTGGAGTGTGTTTTTGCTTTGGAGTAGAGGCACGCTGCCGATGGCGTCGGGAAGAGCCGGCGGTGGGGATGGGCTCAGCAGTACCCGGGAGGTTGGTGCTCCGGGCACGGTGCCATGCAGGAGCAGCTGTGTTTGGAGTTTGTGGCTGGGGTTTTGCCTCCTCCCGAGTCCTCGTCTCAGTGCTGTTGGCACACAGTGTGTGTCACACTACGGGTTGCCATCAGACACCACGTTCCCTACACTGGGAAGGCTGCGTTTGCCTGCGTGCAGGAGGCTGAGCTCACACAGCTGCCTTCGTGCTGGGGCTGCTGCAGTTCCCTGTGGTCCATGACCATTGATTCCCTGTGGTGCTGCTCCATGTTGAGCCATTTTCTGCTGTGTGTGAGTGTTTCTCTGCTGTTTCTTTACAGGCCAAACCCATTTATGGTGGCTGGCTGCTGCTGGCCCCGGAAGGAACGGACTTTGACAACCCCGTCCATCGCTCCCGGGTAAGTGAAGCTCAGACATCTCCTCCCCATGACGTTGGTGTGGGTGGCAGGAGGAGCAGCAAGGGCTGTCCCTACCCATGGCAGTGGCTGTGACCCTGGGAGTGCAAAAGGCACCTCCGTGCACCCATCCCCTTGTGCAAACCAGGAAGCTGGGAGATGTTTCCGGCAGCAAGGCTGGAATGCCTTCTCTGGGATGCACGGTCTCCCATGCTGGGCAGCAGCCTGGGGCACTGCAGGTGCTCAGTCTGTGCAATTTTATTACTTGTTTTTGCTTTTTAATGTTTTGATGCTGCTCTGGTTTGCCTGACACGTGCCATGCTGCCAGGAAGGCAGTGGGGTGTGGGCTGTGTGAACTGTGCTGTGACCATCAGAAAGGCTCCTAGTTTTCCTTTGGGGCTTGGAAACAAGTGCTTTATTTTCTGCAGCTCATCATGAGCGTGCCCAGAGCTCTAGAGAGAGGCTGCATCCCATCCCCTAGCGTGGATATGCCAGTGTCAGGCAGGTCCTGTAGCAAGGAAGGAGCTGAGTGGTGGTTCCCATTTGCTATAACCCTGCAGAGCCCTGAAGCCAAGTGCTAGCAGCAGGGACCTGCATACAGAGCAGGACACACTCAGCTCCTTCCCAAAGGGGTTTTCTCATGCCTGGCAGAAACAGCAGCATCCTGTGGGGTCAGAGCATCCCCCACTTTCCTGTCCTGGGGAGTGTGAGGCTCAGAAGGATGTGGCCAGGCTGATGTCCTTTCACTGCTGGCTTGTGACGAGGACTTGCAGCCTGTCCCCAGGCTTGTCTTGCAGGGAGCTTGCTGCTGAGGCTGCCAGGATGGGGCTGTCTTGTGCGTGGGAGGGATGGCAATGGTCCGTGAACCCTCTGTCATGCAGCCAAAACGCTCTCGGAGCTGTTTATAATAAAAAAAATCGCTCCCGAATGAGCAAGAATTGAGTTCGTAGTTCAGCCTGGGGTATATGGGTCATTACTTGGAGTCACAGCTTGTCATAGGCTGGCTGGCCTGACATAAAGGGGACGTGGGACCCAGGTCTCCCCAGAACCCAGGCTGCCTGCTAAGCTGGGGCTTGTGGAGATCCACAAGGTTCTCCATAGTTCTGCTTGTCCCTGAGCATCCTGGACTTTGCCCAAAGGGCTGAGAAAAATGAGATAAGAATTGCTGCACTGGGGCTATGAATCCAGGACTTTTTTATTTCAGCCTGCTCAACCAGTTTTTGCTGTTGGCTGAAAACAACCTGGCACACATAAAAAAAAAAAAAGGCAGCTTTCCAGCCAGATCAGTTCTCCAATCTGATTTGCTGTGCAGCTGCAGAGGCAGCAGTGCCAGCATGGTGCCAGGATTGCCTGGGCAGTGCCATGCCACAAGTGCAGCCACCACCCAGACTGAGCTCATTGGCTGCTGGGGGACATCTGACATGACACCCTGTCACCCTCCAGCACTGGATGCTGGAGTAGATGATGCAGAGTGAAGCTGAGGGTTCAGAGCATTTAGTTCGGGGATCCTTCTGGTGTCCCCAATACTTGTGGCATGAGCCTGAGTCAGGAGAGGTTCAGTTTGTATATTAGGAAAAGATTCTTTCCCCAGAAGGTGGTCAGGCACTGAACGGGCTCCCCAGGGAGTGGCCAAGGTCCCAAGGTTGCCAGAACTCAAGGCAGTCAGCACTGGGCAGTGTGGGCTGGTGCACACAGACCTTTGGCAGTGCTCTGCCAGCTGCTGTGCAGCTCCAGTGCTCCCAGCAAGGCCCAGGGACTGGTGGGCACTGCCATGACCCACCTCGATGTCTTCTCTTGCAGAAATGGCAGCGTCGGTTCTTCATCCTCTACGAGCACGGGCTGCTGCGCTATGCCCTCGACGAGATGGTGAGTGCTGCCTGGCTGTGTCCAGGTCTGGGGATCAGCTGGGTTATCTGCTGCCCTTGGAGTGCTCTGCCAAGCTGGAGGAGAGTTGTGCTCACTGGGTTTGACTCTGTGCCAGGCTGGGTTTGTGTGGGAGCTCAGTGGCCGCTCTGCAGAGGATGGTGAGCCTTTCAGAGGCGTGCAAGTCCCGCCTGGCGTGGGATTCAGCAGTTGCTGACAGATCTCACGCTGGTAGGAAGTGCTGAAGGGGGTCCCCAAGGTCGTTCCTCGTCCTTTTTGCCCGGTTTCCCAGTGCCAGCTGGGTTTTGGTTGTGGTGAATCACCTTGGCAGTGTCCGAGAAGGAGGCCCTGCCTAGCAATGCCCGTGGAAAGTAGGTCAGCTGGAACAACTTCCCACTGCCTGCCCGCCCTGGAGCTGCAGCTTGTCACCAGCACTGTTCCCATCAGTAAAAGGGGATCAAAGGAAGGGAAACCCATCCCCTGTGAGCTGCAAAGTGGGGCTGAAGAGCCCAGTAGGTCAATCCCAGGAGCAGCCAGGACTGCTGATCTATCCTGCTGGCTACAGCAAGCCCACGGGAGGGTGCCCAAGGCTGAGCACCCATGTGCTGGGTTCTGCCTGGGCAGGAGGCTCAGGAAGCCAGCTGGAGACAGCACACCTGTGGGACAGGGACACATGGGGACCTGTGTCTGTGGCAGGGAGGCTCCCTGCGAGGTCAGTGTGCCTTGGTCCTCCTCCAGTGCCTCCTGTGAGGGCACCGTGGAATGAGGAGGCACGGCGAGTGTGGCTCAGATTTCATGCTGTGTTTGTTTGTATTTTTACTTGGGGTTGGTCCAAGTGCCCTAAATAATTTAAATGTCTTGGGTAGGAGCAGTGGAGGCTTTAATACATTTTCAGTGTCAGCAACCTGACTCTGCGCTGGGCTGGTGTTTCCTGTCTTATACTGACAGGAGGGTGCTTTGTGTCTGGGTGGAGTAGGGAGATTCCCCAGTCTGAGGTAGAGGAGCAGGAAGGCTGGGAAACACAATCTGGAATATTTTTTTTTCTGTTTTGCGTCCTGAGGAGGTTGACCTGCCCCAGGTTCTGCTGCATCCGGGCAGAAGCAGACAGGCAGTGCCCCAGCCCTGTGCCACAGGGGCCATTGCCAGAGAGCACCCAGAGGACAGCAGGAGCATCCTGCAGTTCTCCAGGCACCTGTTGGGCTTTTTCCCCTCGAGGAGGGAAAAAGTGAAAAAATACAAACAAAAAAGGGAAGGTACACATGTGCAGCACGGGATGGTGTCCCAGGCAGTGTGACACCACTGTGCTGGCTCCTGGACTCACTGCCCCATGGCTGCTTGTGCTTTGATGATCCCAGGAGGGTCTGGCCGTGTCATAGTCATAGATAGAGGAAACTGTAATGGATCCTTCCTCCTCACTGGGGTTTGACACATGGTATAAGAATACCCTCCTGGCCTTTCTTCTCCTCCAGCTGTGCCAGCTCCTTGCCCTGTTCCCCTCCGTGGCCTGGTGAGGAGTAACAGGGCTGTGGCCTCATCCATGGGGTGCCAGCACAGACCTTGTTTTTTCCATGAGGGATACACTTAGCAGTCCACTCAGGAATGCTCTCCCCCAGTGTGCCCCACTGAGCTGGGTGGGGGTCCTGTGGGAGCCTCGGTGCAGAGCAGCCTCTGGAGCGTGCAGGAGCCGGCCTGAGACCTCCCAGGCAGTCACAGGCTGGGATTGAATGGCTCTGCTTGAACCTTTCAGACATTAATTTTGTGGGTTTGGCAATTTTTGCTCTTATTAAAAGTGGAATTGGAGGGAGGGGTGAGCTTGTGAGGGGAGTCCTGGGCTAGTGATGCTGATGGAAACATTCCTGTGCCTGGCCAGGGAGGTTCTGCTCCTGGCTCCCGGCAGGGTGGAGAGCAGTGGGGTGTGGAGGGGCAGCTCAGAGCACAAGCCCAGGTTGAGGAGACCTCAGGGAATCCCCAGAAATGTTTGTGCTGTGGTTGGTACTCAGAGACCGTGGAATGGGCCACCATTGGGCACAGGGAGCCTTTTGCCATGGGATGGGTAAAGTTTGGTGTTGGATTGGAGCATTTTGGGCTTGGAAGGTGTGACAAGCAGGCACCAGCTGCCCTGCTGGCATCCAGCTCTCTCCTGAGAACTGCCCAGGGATATCCCAGAGCTGATCCTGAGTCTGTGCTCCTGCTTGACCACCTTCTTTCTGTGTGTCCCTTGTTCTGTCTGTCCTTGCTCTGCCATAGTTCCAGTCTGAAAACAAAATGAATTCTGCATGATGGCTGTGATGGGGAGAATTTGCATAATCTATGGACCTTCATCCCCTTGGACCAGGCTGAGCTGCCAGACTCTCTCCCTGGGGTCTCCCTCTTTCAGGTTGGGTGCAGTTGGTGGCACTCAGAACCAGCCTGGCCACTGGGAATGCCCAGCAGATCCCACTCCCTTCCCTTCTGTCAGCAGCCATTCCCAGCTCTGCTGAGCCCTGGCTAGGCTGAGCCTGCTCAGACGTGCCGAAATTCCTGCCTCCCAACTGTGGGTGGATGTGTGGAGGTTGTGTGATCACTTGGGGATGCCTTCCCATGCTGAACATCCAGGATTGCACCCCAGTGGTGGCTTGCTCCCGTTTGATAAACCTTCGTGCTGGGACTGATGATGACAGGGTCTGATGCTTCTCTGCAGCAGCAGGAGGATGACAAAGCCACTCTTACTGAGAGAAAGCAGGAAAGAAATCAGGGACAGGCTTGGGATTGAGCTGCTCTGTTGTGAGTGTCCAAGGACAAGTTTCAGTTCTGGTAAAATGCCCTGTGGTCTCCAGTGAAACCACTGCCGTGGGAGAGCAGCCCAGTACTGTGGTGCTGGGGTGGTCTGGGAGGTTTTGGTTGGGATATGGGATCTGCCACAAGAATAGTGCCGGGCTCAGGGGCCAGAGCCAGCGAGTGGCAAGTGCAGAGCTTTTGCCTCCTTTTGTTTTGATTGCTGGGATCTATAATTAGCGGCCGAGGTCTCTATAAATAGAGCCTGTCTGCGTGGGAATGGAAAGGCAGGAGGGGGTTTGTGGGGTTGGAGAGCACTGCCATGTCCCTCCCTCAGCCTGCAGGTGGGCCTGTGGCCTCAGACACTGCCTGGGGATGGATCCAGCCCCGTGGCTGGGGCAGGTCAGAGGAGTGGGTCTGGATCTCCAGGCCAGCTTCTTTATGAGTCACTGCATGTCCAGGGCCAGGCTTTGTCTTTGTGCCTCAGTTTATCCCTGTGCCACTTCTTTTGAGCTGGGATTTATACTGGGTTGGCATTTTGCATCCTCCCTGGGAGTATTCTTGTGTCACATCAGGCTTCCTTTTGGTAGCTGAGACTATTAATTTAGAAGTTTTTTGCTTTGTGCATATGCTGGTTTGAAAACAAGACAAAATTCAAGCTTGTCTGGGAGCATCTCAAACCTGCTGGTGCTGTGAATGAGAGGCAAGGTGAGAGCATCTTCTGGATGGGCTCTTTTAGTTTCCCTGCAGGGATTCAGGAGGAGCATCCCTGGGCATGACACACCCATTTTGCAACAAGCTGACCTCAGTCTGTGTCTGGTACTTCCCAACTTGATGAAATGTGTGAGCCCTGTCTCTTCTCTGCTCCTTGCTTGCTGGAGTCAAATTGATCTGTGAAATTGGGAAGAGATCTAGGAGGATGCTTGAAGTAGTAGTCAGCCACCTCAATACCAGAGTTTGCTGGGGTTGGATGGTTGTGTCCTCCATGGTGATGTTGCAGACCTTTCCTGAGCTCACAGCAGCGTGGTCCTGCTCCTAAATCAGGATCTCAGATGGATCATAATGTCATTAACCTCAGTACAATGGAGCAGACATCCCTGCTCCTCCAGCCTGTGGTGGCAGGGAGGGAGGTGCAGAGGGAGCTGGGAGCTGATGGGCCTGGGGTGGATGAAGAGTGAGGCCAGCCTGGCATCTGGGAATGGTTAGGGGAGCAGTGGGACCCCTGGGCTGGGTGTATAAATAGGAGAAGAGAGGCCAGCTCAGAGGTGGGAGGTCTGGCACTACACAGCAGAGCTGTGGGGTCACATCTGGAGACCTGCTCAGCCTCAGGCCCCACTCCTGGCCACAGAAACCTAAGGAACTGATAAATGAGTAAAAAAAGAGAATGGTGTAAGCATTGGTGGCAGCTGGAGGGGGATCAGAGGAAGGGATGCATGCTCGGTGATGCTGTGATCCACAGACCTCTGTAATTATTGTTTCCTAATTCACCCCCCTCCAAAAACCTCTTTATTTGGAGGAAAGGGGCATTTAAAAATGTCACTGTCAGTAGAGCTGTGCTGCGTTAATTTTCATTGTAGTTACCTCCTTTGTCATCTGTATTGTTTTAAGAAGCCAAGAACCCGTGTGTGTGTGTGTTTTTTTTCCTCCTTTTTAGATCAAAGCATTTTACTTCAGTTCTGGCACAGAATTGAAATTCATTGGCAGGGATTAAAAACGAACCTTAAACATCCTGGCCTCTCTGTCCTTACTTTTTCCACACATTTTGCCATTTAAGTGTTTCCAAGCCCTCCTCCTCCGTGGGAGCACCACTCTTTACAAACCCCATTCCCCTCATCCCCAGTGGTTTCCCCCCATTTTTGCCAGTGCCTCTGTTTGCCAGATCAAGACTTTCAGTTTCTGTTTAGCATAAAAAGCTTTTGGCTTGAATCGAAGCGTGTTTGAAATTTAAAGTAAGCAGAGACAGGAAGGCTGGGTGGGAGTGACTGTGAGGCTCAGATGGTGACAGGGACCCCCATCCCAGTTTTTTTCCAAGACTGGATGTAGTCAAGTCAGGGTAGACAGTGATCTGTGAGGAGGTTTTATGTGGGTGTATCTCATAGAAGATGCCATAGCAATAAGGAAATGATGGGAAAATTGGAAAGCAGAGATCCTTTCTTCTCAGGGAAGCTGGGCAGGAAGGGGACACCTGAAATCAGGGTGCAAGGGAGAGGGGACAGAGAACATCCTTGTGACTGCTCTAGAGGAGATGC